CTATTCTGATTGGCTAGAAGGGCATTCTAGAGTGTGCATTAATTTCAGATATACAGACAGTTGGAAAAGATAATGGACACTCGTCTGAAGTAGTTCCAACAATAGGCGGCTTATTACCTTTCTAAATCACTGCACCATGCAGACCTTACTTGCTACAAAGTTACAGAACGCTAAATCAACAACCACACGAATATATTTGATATATTGTAAATGCAGGTCCAACGAGGAATAACTTAGCTAGCTAGGTAGCATGAATTTGTTTTTGCAGATGTCTTTTTTGCATCATCAGATGACCTAAAATGGTGAGTGCGATGCTGCAGTCAAGATGGAAGTTGCGCTAGTGCTTTCAAATACTCTCACATGTTTCTTGTTTGACCAGCATTTTACAGCAACTGGTATTGTTGAATTTGGTTGTGATATTGGCAGATTTGCTAGCAACAAACTATTTAGCTTGCTTCTAGCCTAGTGTTTAATTTACAATGCAATCACTTCTACTGTAATGAAGTGTGTCCGGACGGTAAAGCAACTTTTCTGTGCCAGGCGAAATCATGCATCAGCTTCATAAACTAAAGGACAGGGCTACCGCACACAGAGCTATTGTAGACAACCCTGATGCTACGACCAAAGACAGGAATAAGTACAAGAAGTCCCGCTATGACCTCCGCAGAGTCATCAAAGGAGCAAAAGGACAAAATAGGAATAAGGTGGAATCATACTACACAGGCTCCGCCGCCCAACGCATGTGGCAGGGGCTACAGTCTATTAAAAAGGAAGACCCAATCGTGATCCGCCCAACGATGCTTCTCTACCAGACCAACTCAATGCATTCTATGCACACTTTGACAACAACAACATGGTACCGGGTGTGAGGGCCATCACCGACCCAGAGGATTGGGTGATCTCGCTCTCCAAGGCCAACGTGACAAAGGTCTTTTAATCAGGTCAATACCCGCAAGGCCACGGGGCCCGACGGTATTCCAGGGCGCGTTCTCAGAGCATGCACAGAACAGCTGACAGGCATATTCACGGTAATAATACATTTTCAACCTCTCCTTGTCCCAGTCTGTAATCCCCACATGTTTTATGATGACCACCATCATTCCTGTCCCCAAGAATTCTAAGGCTTCATGCCACAATGACTACCGCCCTGTAGCACTCACTTCTGTAATCATGAAGACTTTGAGAGGCTGGTTGTGGCACACATTCAATTCACCATCCCAGACACCCTAGACCCACTCTAATTTGCATACCACCCCCCCAGATCCATAGATGATGCAATCTCAATTGCTCTCCACACTGCCCTCACCCACCTAGATAAGAGGAAAACCTATGTGAGAATGCTGTTCATTGACTACAGCTCAGCGTTCAACACCATTGTCCCCTCCAAGCTCGTCACCAAGCTTAAAACTCTGGGTCTGAACACCTCCCTCTGCAACTGAATACTGGACTTCCTGACAGGCCGACCCCAGGTGGTGAGGATAGGCAACCCCGTCCCTCCGCCACGCTGTCCCTCAACACAGGGGCCCCACAGGGGTGTGTGCTTAGTCCCTTCCTGTACTCCCTGTTCACCCACGACTCCAACACCATCATCAAGTTTGCTGACAACACGACGGTGGTAGGCCTGATCACCGGCGATAATGAGTCAGCCTACAGGGAAGAGGTCAGTGATCTGGCGGTGTGGTGCCAGAACAACAACCTCTCTCTCAACGTCCGTAAGACCAAGGAGCTGATCGTGGACTACAGGAAACGGAGGGGAGAGCACGCCCCCATCCACATCGCTGCAGTGGAGCAGGACGAGAGCTTTAAGTTCCTTGGTATCCAAATCACTAAAGACTTAAAATGGTCCTAACACACTCGCACAGTTGTGAAGAAAGAGCGACAGTGCCTCTTCCCACTCAGGAGGCTGACATGGGCCCTCAAATTCTCAAAGTTCTACACCTGTACCATTGAGAGCATTTTGATTGGCTGCGTCACTGCCTGGTATGGCAAAATCACCGCCCTCGTTCGTAAATTGTTAATGACTTTTTATTTTTGCACTGTCTCTATTCACACTCAAAGGGTCCTACACACACACACACACTCACTCACTCCATCATCTGATCACTCACACATATGCAGATACATTTATACTGACTCTACACACACCCACTCACATACAAGCTGCTGCTACTCTATCTTATATCCTGTTGCCTAGTCACCTTCCCTTATACATATCTACCTCCATCACTCCAGTATCCTTGCACATTGTAAATATGGTATTGGAACTGACTGTTTATATAGTATGCTTACTTACTTACATACTGTGTTCTTCATATTTCTTATTTTTTCTCATGTTTTTTTTTCTAGTATTACATTGTTATTGATTAGTGCATTGTTGGGTTTTGAGTTTTCAGGAAAGGCATTTCACTGTACTTGTGCATGTGCCATTAAAACTTGAAACTTGGATGTATCATGTATCCAAATGTCACTAGAAAACAGCTTAAACGCAAATGCAGCTCCTTTGCTGTTATTCTATTTGCAGAGTTTGACGTGACTGTGTTAGCCGTAGTTGGCTAGCTAGCAAGCAAGGGATAAGAACATTGCCAGCCTGCATAGCAATCAAACAAACAGAATGGACAACAACTCCGCTTCTCTAGCAACCTAACTGATATAACTAATAACCAGGTTTAGTGGAAGGATGAAATAGTATGAATTTACTTATCAAAATTAAGATATCCATGGAAACATTCAATTTCTATGGTTAAATGTGTGATTTAGTATTGTTTTCTTTGGCAACCTTGGTATAAGCGAGATAAATGCCTCCTCTCTGTACATTATCTGGAACTAATGAACTCCACGGAGGGACTCCGCTGTGCGTTGTCCCTACCACGTCGTTCATTACTTCCAGATAATGTACACAATGTCAGCGTTTTATCCCTTACCTATTACGTTATCCGGCAAGTTATTACATTAACCGGTTTTATTACATAAAAAATGTCAAAGTTAGGCTATTACTTTTTATTATTATTATTATAACCAGTGTTATTACATTAACTGTTACAGAGCAGTGTTGTATTTTGAGACAGGCTTGAATATGCAAAGAAGCCAATAGGCAGAGGTTATCTTACGTTGTTGTCTGATTTTCTGTATGGTAATGATGATGATGATGATGATTAATTTTATTTTGTAAAGTGATTCCTTGCATAAAGCAACAACATTTTCATTCACCTTTCTAGCCCCATGGTGTTAGACAATTTTTGGGTGATTTGAGCATTTGGACAAGTAAAAATTAAAAGGTTAATGTCAAGCCCTGCATAGAATACACAGTCCCACCCAATCTAGAGTAGCTGAACTGGCTGATTTCGTCTCGCATCGTTCCACATTAAACAAATCAAAAAGAGGAATTTTGTCCATGGTAGAAAAGGTCCGAATGTGAATATTGGAGCTGAATGAGCCCTCAAAGTTGGCCCATGTTGCCTTTTTTTGGACCCCCCCCCACTCTACAGTACAATAAGACATCAATATCTTGGTCATTGATTAAGACAAAAGGTTGGTTTTGATATCATTTGAAAGCTTACAAACAGGATTGTTGAAAAGAAAAATACAGTAAAATCATGTTTTTTTAAAATTGTATCTTTGACGTCACTTATCTAAAAAACGCATTAAGTCAGATATGTCATTTCGCATATGTTTTAGTTCACCACTTATTTACACATCATCTGAGGTGTATGTGTTTTGCCCGCCATTGGTTGAGACGAAGCATATTCTTGAATGCAGGGTGGGTGTCATGTTTGGCTGATAAATGTACTAAAATGTGAATATAATTTAGAATTTCAACTTTAAAATGGGACCACAAGATGTCAGCCTGCTGTCAGAGGCAACCATGTTTATGGCTAAAATGACCTGGCTGTGACGGTCTGGTAGCTTTGGAAGGGTAACACATTCCATTTCACTGTTCGCTGAACAATAGAAGGTCGTTTTGGGGAAGTTTATTAGCTTTTTTCACGCCAAGATGACCCCTACATTCTACCCTCACTAAATCTCTAAAAGATTTCCAACAATTTCTGCCACACAGACATGAAAACTACTGCAATATACCACCTCTCTCTCGGTCTGTCTGTCTGTCTTTCTTCTCTTTCTATTTCTCTTTCACTCTTTCTTACCTTCCCTCACACATACTTTCCCTTGTGTTTGTGTTAATGGAGATGCCAATTGAGGACGAGCATGGTAACGTTTTGCCAATGTTGTCTGACAGATCGAGGGGAAAGCATTCTCATGACAAATTAACACACCTGTGTGAGAGCACCCAACTGTCCTTGGTCCAGCTGGCATTTTTTGCCCTGACCAATGACTGAGGATTTTCCTGACTGGCAGATTACAAGCTGACCTATCAATGTGCTGGCCTACCATTTGTATGGCTCTAGTTTAGATCTCACACATACTCATTGTGGATTTTTGTATTGAAACCTCAAAACCAAACTGCCACATTCAATTGCAGCACTATCCACTTACAACATGCAATCAGGGAGACCGTCACTACGCCCCCAAATATAATACAATAGTTTTAATTAAGCATGTAAGAGTGTGCACTTCCGCATGCATAATTTCTGTGTCTATTTTTCTTCATGTCTGTGTGTAAACTTGCATAATGCATGCACCTGTGTTTCTGTGTAGATCAATGAATGTGTGTCTGCATGTTTGTCTGTTCATGTCTGTGTCTACCTGTCGACATAACTACATACTAACCTGTGGTGGCTGGTGGCACTTTACATTGGAGGACAGGCTCATAGTAGGCCTAATGGCTTGAATGAAATGAATGGAACAGTATCAAACACATGGAAACCATGTGTTTGATACCATTCAATCGATTCCATTCCAACTGCCATTACTATGAGCCGTCCTCCCCTCACCAGCCTATACTGATGTTAACTACATGATATAATCCATGTAACAGCTACTAATTCATCTGTCCCTTCCAGGCGGGGAAGAAGTGTGAGGAGGCACGTCAGGAGAAGGAGGCCATGGTGATGAAGTATGTGCGCGGGGAGAAGGAGGCTCTGGACCTGCGCAGGGACAAGGAGGGGCTGGAAAGGAGGCTGAGGGAGGCCACCAAGGAGGTGGACCGCCAGGCCCTCAGGGGAAACCAGTTAGCCCAGGAGAAAGGCCGGCTGCAGCAGCTCCACGACACCAAGGTAACGCAGGGGAAGTGTTAAAGCAACCAAGATCCACATGTTCAGCTGCTAAGGTGGCGCTGGCGCAATGTTAGATGGACTTTCTGACACCACTGCTGCTTTATTTGCACTGGCAAATCAATATTTACTTTAAGGTACTGGAAAGAGTCTGCTCTTTTGCATCATCACACCTTTTGCTGAAACTTTACTGCTGACCATATCAACAGTGGACTACTGAACAATATGTTCTTTGAGTAAAGTGATCCTTTAACATTAATTACTAATGAATTGGCATACAGTGCTTGTTACATCCTAATGGAATCCATCTCTTGTTGTCCTCAGGAGGGAGAGGTGAGCAGGCTGAGTCGGGAGTTGGAGAACGTCAAGGAGGTGATCAACTCTCATCTCATCAAGGTCAAATGGGCCCAGAACAAGCTGAAGAGTGAGACCGACGCCCATAAGGTAAGACCAACTGCATTTTTTACACTGTTGAATAGTAAGGCTACAGCCACACAGAATGAACATGGATGAAATCCTATATGCTTTCTTCAGTTGTCTATTTTTGTCTGTCAAAAGTTCAACTCAAGTTTATTTTTGGAGAAGTAGCATACGTAAAAAGCAGACATATTGTGCGTTTTTTGACAGACAATCATCTCCGTTGATGATCAATGGATGACTCCCATTGAAAAACCAATGGCTCAATCTGTGATTTTCGGACACAAAATCGCTGTGGCCAAAGCCTGAATATGAATCGCATCAGGATAAAAGTTAAAAGACGGGAAGAATCAGGATGGAAGTGGCAGAAGAATAATAGTCCCACACGCTATTATACGCCCAAATACAGTATGATTGTATGTGACTTAGTTTATGATTTTCAAGGTCATTATCTGTGAGTCTGCATTTTTTGGGCTGCTACTCTAAAGAACCAACAAAATGACCAGATGAAACCTACCCCCACAAAAAATAAGAATTACACTATTTGTCTAATGGAGATTAAAAACAAATTCATTTGGGTTCCTGGATCCTTTTACAGCATTTTAAGGCTGCGTTGAGACAACTTATCAATGACCCAAGTGCAGCTCATTTAATCCCTACCATTGTGTCGCTGAGTTGTCATAATGATTCAGCAAATGTACATTATCCTAGGGGGGTTGGAAGACACTGTAAATAACCACATTTATGTCCCTCTTACTGCCTGGAATGCCTCTGCTGATCCTACAGCTATTGTATGCAGTAATCATATGCCTATAAACCAGAGTAATACTGTTAGCACTGAGGTGGTGTGCCCTAGTAGGAAGTCCACTGTGTGCAGCTCACGTCTACCTCTGCTAAGCTTCCCAGTAAAGCAAGAAAAATAATCTAGCATCCCAGAAAAGTGTTCAAAATAGCCCACATTAACATATGTATCTTAAGAAACAAGGTTCATGAAATAAATAATTTGCTAGTAACAGATGACATTAATATTCTGACAATCTCTGAAACTCACATAGATAATACATTTGATGATACAGTGGTAGCAATACAAGGTTATAACATTTACAGAAAATACAGAAATGCCAATGGTGGAGGTGTTGCGGTCTATATTCAGAACCACATTCCTGTAAAGCTTAGAGAGGATCTCATGTTAAATACTGTTTAAGTAATATGGCTACAGGTTCACCTGCCTCACCTCAAGCCCATTCTGGTGGGAAGCTGCTATAGACCACCAAATGCTAACAGTCAGTATCTGGATAACGTGTGAAATGCTTGATAATGTATGTGATCTCAATAGAGAGGTATACATTCTGGGTGATTTTAAATATTGACTGGCTTTCATCAGGCTGCCCACTCAAGAGAAAGCTTCAAACTGTAACTAGTGCCTGCAACCTGATTCAGGTTATCAATCAACCTACCAGGGTAGTTACAAACAGTACAGGAATGAAATCATCAGTGGGAAGAACAAGTATTTGATACACTGCCGATTTGGCAGGTTTTCCTACTTACAAAGCATGTATAGGTCTGTAATTTATCATAGGTACACTTCAACTGTGAGAGACGGAATCTAAAACAAAAATCCAGAAAATCACATTGTATGATTTGTAAGTAATTAATTTGCATTTTGTTGCATGACATAAGTATTTGATACATCAGAAAAGCAGAACTTAATATTTGGTACAGAAACCTTTGTTTGCAATTACAGAGATCATAAGTTTCCTGTAGGTCTTGACCAGGTTTGCACACACTGCAGCAGGGATTTTGGCCCACTCCTCCATACAGACCTTCTCCAGATCCTTCAGGTTTCAGGGCTGTCACTGGGCAATATGGACTTTCAGCTCCCTCCAAAGATTTTATATTGGGTTCAGGTCTGGACACTGGCTAGGCCACTCCAGGAACTTGAGATGCTTCTTACGGAGCCACTCCTTAGTTGCCCTGGCTGTGTGTTTCGGGTCGTTGTCATGCTGGAAGGCTCAGCCACGACCCATCTTCAATGCTCTTACTGAGGGAAGGAGGTTGTTGGCCAAGATCTCGCGATACATGGCCCCATCCATCCTCCCCTCAATGCGGTGCAGTCATCCTGTCCCCTTTGCAGAAAAGCATCCCCAAAGAATGATGTTTCCACCTCCATGTTTCACGGTTGGGATGGTGTTCTTGGGGTTGTACTCATCCTTCTTCTTCCTCCAAACACGGCGAGTGGAGTTTAGACCAAAAAGCTCTATTTTTGTCTCATCAGACCACATGACCTTCTCCCATTCCTCCTCTGGATCATCCAGATGGTCATTGGCAAACTTCAGACGGGCCTGGACATGCGCTGGCTTGAGCAGGGGGACCTTGCGTGCACTGCAGGATTTTAATACAAGACAGCGTAGTGTGTTACTAATGGTTTTCTTTGAGACTGTGGTCCCAGCTCTCTTCAGGTCATTGACCAGGTCCTGCCGTGTAGTTCTGGGCTGATCCCTCACCTTCCTCATGATCATTGATGCCCCACGAGGTGAGATCTTGCATGGAGCCCCAGACCGAGGGGTGATTGACGTCATCTTGAACTTCTTCCATTTTCTAATAATTGCGCCAACAGTTGTTGCCTTCTCACCAAGCTGCTTGCCTATTGTCCTGTAGCCCATCCCAGCCTTGTGCAGGTCTACAATTTTATCCCTGATGTCCTTACACAGCTCTCTGGTCTTGGCCATTGTGGAGAGGTTGGAGTCTGTTTGATTAAGTGTGTGGACAGGTGTCTTTTATACAGGTAACGAGTTCAAACAGGTGCAGTTAATACAGGTAATAAGTGGAGAACAGGAGGGCTTCTTAAAGAAAAACTAACAGGCCGGTGAGAGCCGGAATTCTTACTGGTTGGTAGGTGATCAAATACTTATGTCATGCAATAAAATGCAAATTAATTAATAAAAAATCATACAATATGATTCTCTGGATTTTTGTTTTAGATTCCGTCTCTCACAGTTGAAGTGTACCTATGATAAAAATTACAGACCTCTACATGCTTTGTAAGTAGGAAAACCTGCAAAATCGGCAATCCATCGGCTGTAGTGATCACAATATAGTAGCCATATCTAGGAAAACCAAAGTTCCAAAGGTTGGGCCTAATATTGTGTATAAGAGGTCAGACAAGAAGTTCTGTAGTGATTCCTATGTTGTTGATGTGAATAATATTTGTTGGTCTGTGGTGTGTAATGACGAGCAACCAGACGCTGCACTTGACACATTTATGAAATTGCTTATCCCAGTTACTAATAAGTGTGCACCCATTAAGAAAATGACTGTAAAAACTGTTAAATCCCAGTGGATTGATGAGGAATTGAAAAAGTGTATTGTTGAGAGGGATGAGGCAAAAGATATGGCAAATAAGTCTGGCTGTACAACCGATTGGCAAACATTCTGCAAATGTAGAAATCATGTGACTAAACTGAATAAAATAAGAAGAAACTACACTATGAAACAAAGATAAATGACATAAAGAATGATAGTAAAAAGCTTTGTAGCACCTTAAATGACATTTTGAGCAAAAAGGCAAACTCCGCTCCATCATTCATTGAATCAGATGGCTCATTCATCACAAAACCCACTGATTTTGCCAACTTCTTTAATGATTTTTTTTTTAGGCATGACATGCCAGCAACAAACGCTGACACTACACATCCAAGTATTTCTGACCAAATTATGAAAGCCAAGCATTGTAGTTTTGAATTCCGTGATTGTTAAGCACACTTATAGGGAAGGACGTTCAACAAGCACTTACACAAATGACTGATGATTGGCTGAGGAAAATGGATGATAAAAATATTGTGGGGGCTGTTTTGTTAGATTTCAGTGCAGCTTTTGACATTATCGATAATAGTCTGTTGCTGGAAAAAGTATGTTATGGCTTTACACCCCCTGCTATATTGTGGATAAAGAGTTACTTGTCTAACAGAACACAGAGGGTGTTCTTTAATGGAAGCCTCTCCAACAAAATCCAGGTAGAATCAGGAATTCCCCAGGGCAGCTCTCTAGGCCCCTTACTTTTTTCAATCTTTACTAACGACCTGTATGAATGCAGATGATTCAACACTATACACGTCAGCTACCACAGTGACTGAAATGACAGCAACACTTAACAAAGAGCTGCAGTTAGTTTCAGAATGGGTGGCAAGGAATAAGTTAGTCCTAAATATTTCAAAAACTAAAAGCATTTTATTTTGGACAAATCATTCACTAAACCCTAAACCTCTACTAAATCTTGTAATGAATAATGTGAAAATTGAGCAAGTTGAGGATAGTAAATTGCTTGGAGTAACCCTGGATTGTAAACTGTCATGGTCAAAGCATATTGATACAACAGTAGCTAAAATGGGGAGAAGTCTGTTTATAATAAAGTGCTGCTCTGCATTCTTAATAGCACTATCAACAAGGCAGGTCCTACAGGCCCTAATACAGGCCCTAATTTTGTCGCACCTGGACTACTGTTCAGTCGTGTGGTCAGGTGGAACAATGGGAGACTTAGGAAAATTGCAATTGGCTCAGAACAGGGCAGCACGGCTGGCCCTTGGGTGTACACAGAGAGCTAACGGTAATAATATGCATGTCAATCTCTCCTGGCTCAAAGTTATTTATAATTATTTTTCTGAGGTCTTGGCTGATTTCTTTAGATTTTCCCATGATGTCAAGAAAAGAGGCACTGAGTTTGAAGGTAGGCCTTGAAATAAATCCACATGTACACCTCCAATTGACTCAAATTTTCTGGAATTTTCCAAGCTGTTTAAAGGCACAGGCAACTTAGTGTATGTAAACTTCTGACCCACTGGAATTGTGATACAGTGAATTATAAGTGAAATAATCTGTCTGTAAACAATTGTAGGAAAAATTACTTGTGTCATGCACAAAGTAGATGTCCTAACCGACTTGCCAAAACTATAGTTTGTTAACAAGAAATGTGTGGAGTGGTTGAAAAACGAGTTTTAATGACTCCAACCTAAGTGTATGTAAACTTCCGACTTTAACTGCATATGCTATCGGAAAAAGTATCATTAGGTTGTGTTTATGAAGGTCTTAGATTAAGATACAAATTGAAAGAACATAACATTTTCATAGTTTGTTACTATAGGCTATATGTGAAAAACGTCTAAAAACACAGAATTTCAAGTGTAAAATAAATGTTATTCGCGGAGTGCCTTGGTTACATCTGTGAAGCAAAAAGGATCTGCGTTGGAACACAGTAAGAGCTTCTTTTTATAACGATAAAACAAATAACTTAGGGGACATGACTTAGCGTCTAAGGCATTTTGGCCCGTTTTTCACTACCTTGACATTTTGGCTTCTACAGTGCTCTTGATTTCTATGGATTCAGCACACACTCAGCTAAAAGTTAAAAATGTCAAAACAGACTTTTGAGACTTTTATATGAGTGATTATGTGTCATAAAGGCAAAAAAAAAAAACGCATGTTGAAATTCTTTCGTTGTATATGACGAAGAAATGCACAGTTTGAGGAAGTAGGTTTTCAAATCTGGTTTCCCCAGGTCTTGAGTACCTCTTAAGTTTTAGGGAGCAAAAATGTGACTGATCGGCTCGATTCGGTCTTATGTAGCAAAATTTGAAATTGTGTTTTTTACGGTGGATAAAAGTAGAGACTCAGAGCTAGAAAATGGTATATCATACACTACAGTTGAGGAACAATGGGAAAGTACAGTGCCTTTCAAAAGTATTCATCCCTCTTGGCGTTTTTCCTATTTTGTTGCATTACAACCTGTCATTTAAATTGATTTTTATTTGGATTTCATGTAATGGACATCCACAAAATAGTCCAAATTGGTGAAGTGAAATTAAATAAATAACTTGTTTCAAAAAATTATTAAAAATAAATAACGGAAAAGTGGTGCGTGCATATGAATTCACCCCCTATGCTATGAAGCCCCTAAATAAGATCTGGTGCAAACGATTACCTTCAGAAGTCACATAATTAGTTAAATAAAGTCCACCTGTGTGCAATCTAAGTGTTACATGATCTGTCACATGATCTCAGTGTATATATACACCTGTTCTGAAAGGCCCCAGAGTCTGCAACACCACTAAGCAAGGGGCACCACCAAGTAAGCGGCACCATGAAGACCAAGGAGCTCTCCAAACAGGTCAGGGACAAAGTTGTGGAGAAGTACAGATCAGGGTTGGGTTATAAAAAAATATCTGAAACTTTGAACATCCCACGGAGCACCATTAAATCCATTATTAAAAAATTGAAAGAATATGTCACCACAACAAACCTGCTAAGAGAGGGCCGCCCACCAAAACTCACGGACCAGGCAAGGAGGGCATTAATCAGAAAGGCAACAAAGAGACCAAAGATAACCATGAAGGAGCTGCAAAGCTCCACAGCGGAGATTGGAGTATCTGTCCATAGGACCACATTAAGCCGTACACTCCACAGAGCTGGGCTTTACAGAAGAGTGGCCAGAAAAAAAGCATTGCTTAAAAAAAATATAAGCAAACACGTTTGGTGTTCGCCAAAAGGCATGTGTGAGACTCCCCAAACATATGGAAGAAGGTATTTGGTCAGATGAGACTAAAATTGAGCTTTTTGGCCATCCAGGAAAACGTTATGTCTGACGCAAACACAACACCTCTCATCAACCTGAGAACACCATCCCTACAGTGAAGCATGGTGGTGGCAGCATCATGCTGTGGGGATATTTTTCCATCAGCAGGGACTGGGAAACTGGTCAGAATTGAAGGAATGATGTATGGCGCTATATACAGGGAAAATCTTGAGGGAAACCTGTTTCAGTCTTCCAGAGATAGGAGGAGGTTCACCTTCCAGCAGGACAATGAACCTAAGCATACTGCTAAAGCAACACTCGAGTGGTTTAAGGGGAAACATTTAAATGTCCTGGAATGGCCTAGTCAAAGCCCAGACCTCAATCCAATTGAGAATCTGTGGTATGACTTAAAGATTGTTGTATACCAGCGGAACCCATCCAACTTGAAGGAGCTGGAGCAGTTTTGCCTTGAAGAATGGGCAAAAATCCCAGTGGCTAGATGTGCCAAGCTTATAGAAACATACCCCAAGAGACTTGCAGCTGTAAATTGATTTATCAGTAGTAAATCAGATACAATATAGGAAAATATCTAGGCAATAGGGACGTGTCTAATGTTGATGATTCTTTTACAATATTGAGGACATGCAAAGATGCAGAGAATTAAGTTGGGTTAGTCGGTGAGTGGAAAAAATGATTGACATTTATTTAACATTTATTTACGTTTATTGGTGAGTGAATTTTTTTTGTTTTCATTTATTTATTTTACTCTTTAATGATGAGCGGTGCGAGGGAGTTGCTTTTTCCACAAGCCTTTTCTCATGGCAAGCTAATGAAACTGTAAACACACTAGCTAGCTAGCACACTAGAGCCAGCTAGCGCACTGGACAGTCTAAATTGGAAAAACACTTGCTTGAGTTTCAAAAATAGTTGCTAAATGAAGGACTGCAAGCGCCATTTGAGCCGTGACTTGAGCTACCGAAACAGGTGCGTCTTTTTCACTGTTCACCGCTTACTCCCGTTTCAATAGGGTGATATTCCCTTAATATTGGGGGTTGACACATACAGTTAACAGCATTAACAAAAATGATTCCCCTTTTAACCAAGTGACCCGCATTTGGCAGGTGTACATTTTTTGCCCTGTGTTTAATATGTGAGCTTAAACTGGGTGGGCAGGCTTTTGTTAAAAATGAAAGTGAATTATTCTGATGAAAATAAGCTCTTTGCTTTTATGAAGACAATGTAGGGAGAAGAATTGTGTGATATATTGCCTTGTATTCTTTGTTGTTGTCAGATGCACATGAACAAATGGAACACTATTGTCAACATGAATTAATAGTTGTCTTCAGCACAAAATTTCACTTACCTTTTTCGGGCAGCCACCAAGCAGATTCCACCTGCCTTTCTGTTCAGTTTGCATTTCCCCCAGGCCATCAGGCTATCAGGCAACCGTTAATGTCAAACCCTGTAATTGGATTGTGATTATACCGATGAATGAATGCTGCACACAATGTGCTTATTTTCCATTCCATTCATTTTTTATTTTTATGGAACAATGTTTGATTTGATGTGTATGAAATTGTTTGGTGAAATATGGATAAAAGGAGCGTAGCCAAATTACCTATAATTCTGCACCTTTTGATGGTTGTATTTGTGTGTATGCAGTTTTGATTGTGACTGCAAAGAAAATATTGATTTAAATGTTATTTTTTTAAGACAGACTAACTTTGTTTTGTCAGCTTGACTCAAGCGGTATGTATGTTTGTGATCATCTTTTTGTCGGCAGTCGTGTTCTTTTGAGGAATGTATTTGCAATTTTTATGGTACCATTTATTTTTGATGGCAACTACATTTTGAAAATGCATTTACTGTTTTGCAAAAGGCCACAGTTCTGTGTTGTGAGTACACTGTTTTGAAAATTGATAACATTGTTCACAAAATGCTTGTATGCGATGAGAAAAACTGTAACATTCACCGTCTTCTTCTCACCACAGGAGACTAAAGTTAAGCTACGAGAGACCACGGCCAAACTCACCCAGGCGAAGGAGGAGACGGAGCAGATCCGCAAGAACTGCCAGGACATGATCCGCACATATCAGGTGTGCGTCTGTGTGTTTTCAAAGATGGAATACCTGTGTAGATGAGCTTTATTAGAAATCCAAAGAAAGTATCATGTGACTTATCTTCTGAAATCAGGCTAGTTTCTGTCCACTAGGGGCCAGTAGAGGGCTGTGTCCTTTCAAATGCTATCTGGTGCCGTATTATGTATGAAGCGACATGCTGTAGGAGTGCAGATTTTTGCCTTTTAGAGCACAATGAATATGATGCGGGGGACCTGATCCTAGATCAGCACTCCTACTCTGAGACACTTGATACATATGGCCCCAGATCTTTGCTTTGGAATTCATTAGGGTTATTCAGTGTTTTCCATTACCGCCGGCTGTCGGCAAATCAGCCAGTTACAGACGGCTACATTTTCCGCTTCATATTAACTAGGCTACTTTTCATTTAAAAGTTTCAATTTGCCAGTCCGTTTCGTTCTGAACAGAACCATTCTTTTTTTGTTGTTCTATTCCACTGTTCCGACCAGCAAAGTTCTGAGCCAGTTCGAACCCCAAAAAAGTACCGGTTTATATCGGTTCTTTCTGTTCCTTTTAAAACCTCTGAAATATAGTTATTTTTATTATTATTTAGCGCGACATTAAATGACTTCACCGATCAGTGCGGATAAAGCAGCGTGCTGTGGAGCAGGGTAAGCAATTTAATCTGTATAGGAAAGTCGTTAAGAGCAAATTGTATTTTGCCGTAACAGCATGGTTTAAGCATAATGAAAGACAAACACACACACTGTGCTGCCAGTCACAGTGTAGGGCGCGAGATGCAACTGAAATTTTGAGGGTGAGGAGACAGCGAGAGACGATGAAGGAATCTTGCTTTGAAGCACTGGGCATCTTGTTAAGACATGCCTTCTCTGAATTAGGCCCACAGAATTATAGCTACAGATGAGCGGCATCTATGGAGGAAAGTTAAATGTATTTGAACTTCTGAGTTGGTTTAACGTTGGACCAGAGCAAACTTTAGCTAGCTAGCTAGCTAGCTAACAAGCTTGTATGTGCAGAGCAGCACTATCATTAAAAACACGTCTTACCTTTTTGTTAAGAAATCCAATGTGAAATGTGATAACCTTAACTAGCATTGGAAAAAGTCTATCCTTTCTTCTTTAATTAAACCTCTCCATAATTTCTGAATTACGCTTGTAACGTCGTCAGTAGGCTACAATAACATATGCTTCAGAGGGGAGGGGCAGGTAGCCTACACACACATGCACGCACACCCCCTGGCAAAGATTTCCAGCTGGCAGGCAGACGCTGGAATTATGCCACGTTCACGTGTTAGTCAAAAACTCTGAAATCTCTGACTTGCTAACTGGTTGTAGTTATACACGTGCTGCGTTCAACCAGCTAGCAAGTCGAACATTTTCGAGTTTCCTAGTTCTGACAAGCACGTGAATGCGGCATACGTTTCTGAGTGACAGAGTGCGGGCTTTGCATAGGCGCCTTGTTGCGATTTTTGTGGGACTGGAAAAATAACATTATTAACCGGTTCCCATGCTTTTAAAATAACGGTTCTGTTCTAGAACAGTAAAATCACGTTCGTTTCGGGTATTGTTTCTCAAATAATTTGGTTATTTTCCGGTTTTCGGTTCATTTCCCTGAGCTGGTTCCAACCCTTGGTTGCAGTATAATTGATTTACAGGGAGGAGGGAGAGAGCACATGAGGCTCATGAATTTGCACGTCCCATGTAATGTAAGTGGTAACGATAAGTCAAAATCCACAACTTAGCCTAATGATTGTTTTCTGACACATTCATTTATTTTCTTTCACGTGTTTCACATAGCCAGCCACGTGGAGTTCGTGGCGCATAGTAGGCTATTTACTGTGTGTTGATTGACAACTGAACAGCAAGTGTTGACTAGTTTATAAAACTTAGCTAACTGACTGAATAAAGTCGATCTCCTATATTCCTTTGCCATTCATAAATCATGCAACGTGGTTATATGTCCATGGTATTGCATCGGGACAAGTAAACCAAAGGATTTCGTGGGTTTCCTTTCCTAGGATGTCAGGGCTTGCCAAACAATGACGCTAAAGTGAGTGACTCTCGTCTCGTCAGTCAGTGTAGCCTACCGAATCACATCGTTGAGAGAGCCGTTCATTTGGCTCCCTAATCTGCATAGGCTACTGGTAGGTCTATTCTTTCGGCGATTATCTGCAGATAAATTATGAACACATTCGATGAACTGCCAAGGCAGCAGCTACTCTTCCTGGGGTCCGGCAAAATTAAGGCAGTTATACAATTTTAAAAACATTACAATACATTCATTACAGAATTCACAACATACTAAGTGTGTGCCCTCAGACACATACTCCACTACCACATTTATACAACACAAAATCCATGTGTACGTGTGTGTATGTTATCATGTGTGTTTGCATGTGTCTGTGCCTATGTTTGTGTTGCTTCACAGTCCCCGCTGTTCCATAAGGTGTATTTTTATCTGTTTTTTAAATCATATAGGCCTAGACCGAGACAATATCCAAAACAACTAACAATACACTGAATTCATACATTTCCAGTCATTTCAATTGTACAGTCATGTCTTTCAACACAATACCACAATACGTTTTTACAATCTGGGAGATAATAGTATTCAATAATTTAGCTGTGTATTTCAGATGGAATCAAGGCATTAGAATGTACCAGAAGCCACCAAAATAGAGCTTCTTCTGCAAAATCCCCCTATTTTTTCTATTTGGCTGGCGACTTTATGTTCCTGTGGAAAACACTGGTTATTCCGACTCACTCTCTCCCTCTTACCCTTAAATCAATATTTTTTCTCTTTACTCCTTGTTTCTTTTCTTCCTCTATTATGATCTCTCTCCATCCTTTGTTTTTCCTCCTCTCTTTCTCTTACCACATCCTTATTTATTTTTCTCTCTCTCTATCCTCTCTCACTCCTTCCTCCATCTGTTGCTCCTTCCCCGCTGTTCCTCTCTGTGCTTGCTCTCTTTAACCCCTCCCCCCCCCCCTCGCTCTCTCAGGAGTCAGAGGAGATCAAGTCGAACGAATTGGACGCCAAGCTGCGCGAGACCAAAGGCGAACTGGAGAAACACAAGCAGGAACAGACAGACCAGCTGGAGGTCCGACACAACACACACACACCGACACACACACACACACCGACATACACTTACACACTGCCCCATTTACACTGCCCTCTTTTAAGATTCACACTTAAGATAAATTGCAGAGAAATTATCAATATTTAAGCCATCGGTCACATCAACAACAACTCAAAAGACTTCATAACTGCTGTTTGTCATTTATGCAATGCCCTGTTGCCATGGCAATCAACTTAATTCAAGGTCTCATTTGTAGTATTTTGGGAAGTTTTTTTTATGAGGATGTTCAGCTTTGATTTGATTAATGTTGCTTTACTGGAAGTGTTATTGCTGGTTTGCATTAACCTCACCTATGCTCTCCAGATTCCAACCATTCACGTATTGCTTGAGTAATATCCCAAAGTCACCTCAGGCAACTGAGAAATAGGAAAGCTTTAACATGAACGAACTTTGACAGTGTCCAAAACAATATTAACAGATATTCTGAAATGGAAGGAGAAAGATATCTCATTTGCTAAATCACTTTGAACAGTTACAGGTGGACAATCTGAATGAACATTCCAAAATGTTGTAGGAAAGCATCAGTAGTTTCAAGTTTGATTAGTCTTATGTACGGGATACACATGGTATACACCGTCCAACGAAATGCTTACTTGCAGGTTCCTTCTCGACAATGCAATAACAATAAGTAATAATAAAATATAAGAATACGAACATAAAGTAAATGGCTCAGTAGAATAGAATAACATTTTTAGCGTGAGTATAATTAATACAGGAAGGCACAATTTATAGTCCAATATTAGCTATTCTTCTTACTACTGTACATGTTCTAGAAAGCATTTCGTAACGTCATCGCGTATAGGTGGCAGTTGGATCCGAAACACTAGCTTTTCAGACTGTTATCTAACCTAACGAATGCTCTGCTCTGATTGACAGATGCACCATTCCAAGGCCAAGGAGCTAGAAGACCTGAAGAGGACATTCAATGAGGGGATGGATGAACTGACCACCATGCGCGCAAAGGTGTGTGTGTGTGTGTGTGTGTGTGTGTGTGTGTGTGTGTGTGTGTGTGTGTGTGTGTGTGCGCGTACGCGTGTCTGGGTCTCTGCATGTGTGTGTGTCTGTCTCTCTCGCCTCGTTTACACCTTGCACTAATGTGGTTTTCATTGTCCGATCAAGATGATCGAATCACTATCTAATTAAGTTCTGTCACGTTTACACATGGTATTAAAATGTCTGTTATCCATCCACTCTGTCTGCGTCGTGAACACATTTCCTGATCCCCCCATGTATTACATTTATTTGATATTCTTTCATGCTTAGACAATTATTGAGACCTTGAGTCTATGTTGTCACTTGTCAAATAATTGTACTGCGCTATAATGATGATTAAAGTGGTTTCATCATCCAGATCTGTTTACACCTGTAAGATATCCAGATACAATGCGTGCCTGACTACCTCCAGAGACATACAATTTTGTTTACCATAACTTATTGCCTTGTTCTTATAGATTCTATCTGAGGGATCAAATTCCTGCATTATACACAAAATCATTTCATGGCTTATGCTGTTCTTATGCATCTGAGTGACTCAACATTATACAAATACAATTTTAGATTCTCCCTGACTGTCTATTTTTTTGAGGGGGTGATTGTTAGTTCTCAAAGATGATCTTATTACAAAATATATTGCTCCATTATTGTCTACATACTTTATATCTGGTTTTAGTTGTTGAAGTTTACACTGAAAACGTTTTACCACCCTAAAATTATTTAATTATTTATTTGTATTATTATTTTAAAAAATTGCAGTGGCGGCCACGATTTAGCAGCGGTGGAGTGCCGCTGCAAAATGCATATAGGGAAAACACTGACACAAAAATGTGGGCACAAACACAGAATGTGGACAAGATCAGGACAAAGGACGCATGTTAGCACCAGGTATAAATGGGGCTTCTCTCTCTCTCTGTGTGTGTGTGTGTGCTGGGTCACAGGTGAAGTGTCTGGAGGATGAGAGGCCTCGCTGGGAGGATGAGCTCTCCAAGTACAGAGAGATCATCAACAGGCAGAAGGCTGAGATCGCGAGACAGAGAGACAAGCTGGGAGAGATACACGCACTGGAGGAACAGCACCAACGGTGAGCCAACACACGTACACACACATACGTACACACACAAATGTACACACGTACAGAGACAGGCTAGTCGGTTGACCTTGTATTGCTTGCCTCTGCACCGTTTGGCTGATCCTAGTGTGTGACCTTGTGAATGAATGCCAATTCTCCAAAGTGGCATCCTGTCCTGTCTCTCCCAATCCTCATTGATTCGACAGCACTGTAAAGGGAAACGCAACACAGTAGAGGTTGAATTTCCGTCCCATTTTTGTCACCTGTCAAGGCATTCTGAGGACAAATAAATGGGCCATAGGAAAGGGAGCAACTTAAGAGAAATGGCTGTCACGGTCCATGGTGACATCCCTGTGCACTTGTTCACATGTACACTTCTGAGTGCACACTGACCTATGGTGTGTGTGTGTGTCTTACTAGCACTGATTTTGCTGATAGCTGCTTTGAGGAAAGCTTCACTTGCAATGACTGTGATTTTGTGTGAAATTCTCACCTACCTTGGTTGAATGCACTGTGACTGTAAATCGCTACAGATAATTGTCTGCTAGATACATAAATGTGATGTGCTGTGCGTGCAATGTGTCTTCCTCAGGGACGAGCATGAGATGGCCAGTCTACGCGAGGAGGTGGAGAGCGTGAACGTCCAGATTGGTGACCTCCAGCTGGATGTGCAAGGCAGCCGGGAGCGGGAGGCCGAGCTCCTGGGCTTCACGGAGAAGCTAAGCAGCAAGAACGCCCAGCTGCAGTCGGAGAGCAATGGCCTACAGGCCCAGTTGGACCGACTGGGCACCGACTCCATGGAGCTGCAGGGCCGACTGGATGAGACGCAGACAGCACTGGCCGACCAGGTAAGACGACACAACATAAGACTACTGTTTTCAATGTTTTTGTCATTTTTAATTATAAGGTTTACAAGGTCATTTGAAGTAGTACATTTTTTCCTAGGGGAGAGTAAACAATGATGAAACTGACAATAATTGAACAGAACAAAACAGAATAGAAAGAGACATAACATAGTACAAAAAGGGCCGCAATATTCAATTACCTACAGAGAAAAGAGCCCAAAAAGTACTCTCATTCTTTTTTTTTTTTTTTTATAAGGCCCAGTGCGGTCAAATGTGATTTGCCTGTGTTTTATATATATTTCCACACTGAGGTTGGAATAATACTGTGAAAATGATGATAATGCCCTTGTAGTGTAAGAGCTGTTTGAAAAGATCGCCTGAAATTCCAGCCTGTTTTGGTGGGGTGAAGTTAAATTAGTTAATAGACCAATAAGAAAGAGAGCCAATAACAGCTCGTTTTCAGTTTTCCCCTCCCAGACAGTCCTTGCAAAATTCTTACTTGAGAAATTGCTCTTTGTTAAGAAGCCATTTTTGTTTATTGTTTACCATTTTAATTGAAAACAGTAAAAGTAAGGTACTTAATTGTTACCCAGAAATGATTTGATATTGAGATAAAAACGGCTACATTGAACCTTTAAAGGAAAGATTCACCGATTTTGTATTTGTATTTTTATGTTATATAGTTTTTGTGCGTCTCTGAACGATGTTCTATCGATTCCCGGGGTAATTTCATGTTTTCATTTGTATCTGAGCTATTCGCCATTCAAGGAAGTTCAATCAGGCAGATATACAGCCAGTATGATGAGTTTTGCATCATATGACACGGCAATAGCTTAGATACACATGAAAACACGAAATGACGCTGGGAATCGATAGAACATCACTCAGGGATGCACAAAAACAATAGAACATTCAAAATGGGTGAATCTTTTTTTTGGACAGCATGGAAATGAGAATGGGGGAATAGGTGGAAGTACAGTACAGAAACTGGCACAACTAGGATTCAAACCCCCTGTTGTTTGGAGCCTGTGTCGTCCAGAGGTGACGACCACTACATCAACAACCACCAGCACCTCATTCTTTCATTCAAAACAGGGACAAATACTATTTGTTGTTTGTGGTCGAAGTCAGTCCCTTTAGTAAAAAAAACAAGGCCGAAAATGGCAGGACCAGGTTTCCCGATAGGGATGGAACTTAAGCTTACGAGTGTTTTAATGATTTCTATAACGGCCAAAGATGTAACATGCATTTCCCAAACCACTACATAGAGAGAACATTCACTAAGGGTGTCTTTGAACATGTGTCCATACTGATAAGATCGAAAGGAAGGCAGCGCTGCTCCCGGATCAGCTTTCTTCATTCAAATTCTTACCTTAACATCAGAATGAATACACAATACTGATGACGGATCAAGTCCTGGATAGACTATCATATATGGCTTCAAATTTTGAGGCTATTTATTCTAATGGCTTAGCCTATAATGATATTTGGCACATCATTGCGCATGTTGTTATACATCATGAAATGCACTCAGTGGCCAGGTTTTTAGGTACACCCATCTAGTACCGGGTCGGAGCCCCTCTTTGCCTCCAGTCTGAATTCTTCAGTGCATGGAAACGTTGCTTAATTGGTATCAAGAGACTTAACGTGTGCCAGGAAAACATTCCCCACACCATTACACCATCGCCACCAGACTGAACCGTTGACACCAGGCAGGATGGGGCCATGGACTCATGCTGCTTACGTCAAATCATGACTCAGCCATCAGCATGATGCAACAGGAACCGGGATTCGTTGGACAACTCCTCAATTGTCCAGTGCTGGTGATCGCGTGCCCACTGGAGCGCTTCTTCTTGTTTTTAGCTGGTAGGGGTGAAACCCGTTGAGGTCATCTGCTGCAATAGCCCATCCGTGACAAGGACGAGTTGTGCGTTCCCAGATGCCGTTCTGCACACCACTGTTGGACTGCGCCGTTAGTTGCCTGTTTGTGGCCTGCCTATTAGTTTGCACGATTCTTGCCATTCTCCACTTTTTTGGTTACTACATGATTCCATATGTGTTATTTAATAGTTTTGATGTCTTCACTATTATTCTACAAAGCAGAAAATAGTAAAAATAAAGATAAAGCCTTGAATGAGTAGGTGTGTCCAAACTTTTGACTGGTACTGTACATGCATACATACATACATACATACATATATACACACACACAGACATACACATATAAATATATACACATACATACATACATACAGTGAGGGAAAAAAGTATTTGATCCCCTGCCCATTTTGTACGTTTGCCCACTGACAAAGAAATGATCAGTCTATAATTTTAATGGTAGGTTTATTTGAACAGTGAGAGACAGAATACCAACAAAAAAATCCAGAGAAACGCATGTAAAGAATGTTATACTTTTTTAAATGAGGGAAATAAGTATTTGACCCCCTCTCAATCAGAAAGATTTCTGACTCCCAGGTGTCTTTTATACAGGTAACGAGCTGAGATTAGGAGCACACTCTTAAAGAGAGTGCTCCTAATCTCAGTTTGTTACCTGTATAAAAGACACCTGTCCACAGAAGCAATCAATCAATCTTATACCAAACTGTCCACCATGGCCAAGACCAAAGAGCTCTCCAAGGATGTCAGGGACAAGATTGTAGACCTACACAAGGCTGGAATGGGCTACAAGACAATCGCCAAGCAGCTTGGTGAGAAGGTGACAACATTTGGTGTGATTATTCGCAAATGTAAGAAACACAAAAGACCTGTCAATCTCCCTCTGCCTGGGGCTCCATGCAAGATCTCACCTCGTGGAGTTGCAATGATCATGAGAACGGTGAGGAATCAGCCCAGAACTACACGGGAGGATCTTGTCAATGATCTCAAGGCAGCTGGGACCATAGTCACCAAGAAAACAATTGGTAACACACTACGCCGTGAAGGACTGAAATCCTGCAGTGCCCGCAAGGTCCCCCTGCTCAAGAAAGCACAGATGCATGCCCGTCTGAAGTTTGCCAATGAACATCTGAATGATTCAGAGGAGAACTGGGTGAAAGTGTTGTGGTCAGATGAGACCAAAATAGAGCTCTTTGGTATCAACTCAACTCGCCGTGTTTGGAGGAGGAGGAATGCTGCCTATGACCCCAAGAACACCATCCCCACCGTCAAATATGGAGGTGGAAACATTATGCTTTGGGGGTGTTTTTCTGCTTAGGGGACAGGACAACTTCACCGCATCAAAGGGACGATGGACGGGGCCATGTACCGTCAAATCTTGGGTGAACCTCCTTCCCTCAGCCAGGGCATTGAAAATGGGTCGTGGATAGGTATTCCAGCATGACAATGACCCAAAACACATTGCCAAGGCAACAAAGGAGTGGCTCAAGAAGAAGCACATTAAGGTCCTGGAGTGGCCTAGCCAGTCTCCAGACCTTAATCCCATAGAAAATCTGTGGAGGGAGCTCAAGGTTCGAGTTGCCAAACGTCAGCCTCGAACCTTAATGACTTGGAGAAGATCTGCAAAGAGGAGTGGGACAAAATCCCTCCTGAGATGTGTGCAAACCTGGTGGCCAACTACAAGAAACGTCTGACCTCTGTGATTGCCAACAAGGGTTTTGCCACCAAGTACTAAGTCATGTTTTGCAGAGGGGTCTAATACTTATTTCCCTCATTAAAATGCAAATCATTTATAACATTTTTGACATGCATTTTTCTGGATTTTTTTGTTGTTATTCTGTCTCTCACTGTTCAAATAAACCTACCATTAAAATTATAGACTGATAATTACTTTGTCAGTGGGCAAACGTACAAAATCTGCAGGGGATCAAATACTTTTTTCCCTCAGGCTGTGGAGGGATCCAAGTTGTGGATTTAAGAGAAAACATGAATCATCAGCGTACAATGACACCTTTTTTTTTTAGCCCTGGATTTTTAATCCCTTGATATTATTGTTGGATCTGATTTTAATAGCTAACATTTAGATGGCCATAATAAATAGATATGCCGATAGTGGACAACCTTGTTTTACTCTTGATGTTTTAAAACTTTCTGAGCAATAGCGATTATTTCCTATTTTACACCTAATGTTACAATACATGATTTTAACCCATTTCATAAGAGATTCTCCAAAATTTAAATGTTCCAGGCATTTATATATAAACTCCAGTCATACTTTATCAAAAGCCTTTTCAAAGTCTGCTATGAATAGCAGGCCTGGTTTCCCAGATTTTTCATAGTGTTCTACTGTTTCCAGGACTTGCCTTATATTATCTCCAATGTATTGTCCATGTAAAAAACCTGTCTGATTAGGATGAACAATGTCCGACAATACCTTTTTAATTCTATGTGCTATATGTTTTGATATAATTTTTGCGTCACGACACTGAAGTGTAAGGGGCCTCCAATTCTTTAAATGGACTGGTTCTTTATATTTCCCACTTGTATCCTGTTTGAAAAGAAGCGTGAATCATCAATATTTGGTCCCTAAAGGTTAATGAGCCATATCTGTTTATGGTCCAATAACATATTTAAAATCATCCATCTACCTTGGGGATCTGTTTGGACAATTTGCACATTCTGATCAAAATTACTGTTAATTAATATCATCACCCCTTTTGAGTTTCTTTGACAGTGGGAGAAGTATAATTGCCCCCGGATCCCTAGGCCCCCCGAGAGGCCAGGACCCATCCTTCGAAAACAGTGCACTGTGCCACCCACAGAACAGAAGCAGATCAACCTCTAAAAGTATTTCCAATGCTTTCACCTTAATTTGCTTTATATATAGCTATTAAAAAAATATATATATTCAAATATCTTGCGTATCTTTATTTCCATCATTAACAATTAATATGCGTAATAATGTTGGCAGTTCATGCAAAGGATTGTTACCTATAACCAGGATCGCCATTGCATTACATTACATTTTTGTCTACCAATTATTATTTTAGCAAACAGTTAATTGTGATTCAGCCTATATTGTCCCTAACTTCCTTACCCCCTTGCAA